TATATATATATATATATATATATAGACTAAAACCAATGTTTTAAATGTCTCGGACTAAAATCGAAATTTGAAAGTTTCTTAAGGACTAAAAACACTATTAATCCAAAAAATACGAATACTTTTAGTTAACGATTTAATGAAATTTTATTATTATATTTACACACTTGTTATTAGTTTATTTGACAAATATATGAATTAGCAAGGAAATGTTAAGATCTTTGTGAACAAAAAGTTCACAAAAAAAAAAAAAAAAAAAACCTCAATTTTCTCTTCAGCAATATTGGCAGTTAATATGTTGGAACATTTAATATTAATCTTCACATCCCCCACTGTTACACCATCAAGGTAAATTTTATAATCAAGAATATAGAATAGATTCTTTTCCTTTTTGGTAGATCGAATGTATATTTTTTTTCAGACATCAATGAATAATGTACAGAAAATGGTAAAGAACACCACATACGGACCAAGCAGTGACAGGAACCAACAAACAATAATTTACTAAATCCTTCACTTACGAGCTAGCCATTACATAAAAACGATTTTAAGGTAATCAAAAAAATTAACTTGTAAAATATACTGCACACTACACTACCACAGGTCCTAATGCAAGGTCCAACCCAATTATCACATTGCTTTCCAAATGGGATATAAAGCCGTGAGACAATCTTCACGAGTAAATGCAGCTTACTTTGAATGAAGGCACTTTTAACTCTATATATAAATGACTTTAAATCCGTTACCACCAGCAACGCACACCATGTGTCAAAAGATGTTCTTCTATGCTGCCACAGATCCTGAAGCAGCTTTCTTTTGCTCTACAAGACTTGTCAGGGCACTATCAATTTGAGCAAATACTTCCTCCTTTGAGACATTTCCATTAATCTGAAGACAACAAAAGCACCTTAGCTGGGCTTGACCCAACAATATGGGAGCAGAACCAATCCAAGTATCCAACTATATTTTTCCTATATCTTAGCTTTTGCATTAGCTAGATCTTATTGAACATCAAATAAACTGCCAGATACCAGCCACTAATAGCACATGGAAGAAACACGATATTCAAGCTTGAAGCAGTTATTCAGTTAAGCAACAAACATCTATAAACCAATATAAATGTTCCGTTGTCTGAATAACCAAATGTTTTATATTATAAAAGATTAAAAGTCCATTTTTATTTCTTTATTTATGTTCATGCCGAGGAGATAGACTTAGCATCTTGTCGACAAGAAAAAGGAAAATACTTGTGGATATCCACGCTTTGTGCTGTGGTGGCAACTGGCTAGGATTACCCACTTTAAATTGGCATCTTATTAGTACAAACATAAATGATAAATTGGTAATTGCTATACAAATGATGTACACTCCACAGATGTTGGACATGATTGCTTGAGCCATATGTCTGTTGTTTGTTGCACATGTGCGCACGCATGTAAGAGAGTGAGATTAAAGAGCATACCTTAACAATTATATCATTATACATGGAAATGACTGACTCCACGTTTTGATGATGGGTGTTCAATCGCAACTTCACCTAAGTCAAAAGCAAACAACAACGGTATTTCAATTACACTCAATTATAAGCCTCAGCATGAGAGTGGATGTAGAAGCATTTTCTGACAAATGAATTAAGATCTTTATGGAAACAACGGATAAGGGTTTCATGTAGGGTATTCATGCCTTTTCTTCGGTATCATCAAAGCGTTGGGTAAGTCTTGCTGCAATTTCTTCTGTCTCAGGAGGAGAATATTTCAAGTGATATATCTTCCCAGTAACAGGATCTAATCTCCGGCCAACTACTCTCTCGACAAGAACATCTTCAGAAACCTGCAAATTATAATAAAAGCTACTTTAAGAGGTATTTAACCAAAAAATGATACATTGGGTAATAAGAAGTAGTAGTGGGTGAGTTTACCTCTAGAAGAAGAAAAATATCAGGTTCAAAGCCAAATCCTTTAAGCGCAGTAGCTTGTGATAAGCTCCTGGGATATCCATCCAAAAGCCAACCATTCTCTTTAGAATCTGGTTGCAGGAGACGGTCCTTGACCATCTACAGCATAAAAAATATATATATAGATGAAGGGAAATGGAATGATTGATTGGATTAGATAAAATTAAAACACACCATGACAACAATTTCGTCAGGAACCAACTGTCCCTTCTCCATATATTGTTTGGCTCGCTTTCCATTTTGACTTCCAGTGGAAATTTCAGCTCTAAGTAAATCCCCAGCAGCAACATGCACCAAACCGTACTGCACACCAGATAGATGCATCTGAGTTGAATGAATAGAATAATTGAATCTAGCGTGCGTAGGGAAAGGAAGTAAC